GCGGCATATGGACAAGCGGGACCCGCGCACAGGGGCGCCATATGGACGGTCGGGACCAGCAGACGGGACGTCATATGGGCGGTCGGGACCAGCATCAAAGCCACTGTGCCAGCCTTCTGTCCCGGGAAGCCCGCCGCCACTGCCCTTGGCACAGACACCCCGGCAGAGCCGCCCCCGGGCCCAGGTGGTGCCGTCCGGAAGGAGCCAGGCAGCCCCGTCCCAGGCTGGCGCTCCGGGCACAGTTGGTTCTCAAGGCCTCCTGCACCCGAGGCCCACCATGGGGAGTGGTCGGACGCCATGGGCCCTCACCGTGGGGGGATGCACATGGCAGCCACGGCCCAGTGTCTCGGCCACCCGCCGCCGCAGGGCCCTCCGTGGCTCTCAAACCCAACTCCCACATAGACACGTGCTCCGCCAGTGGCTGGACACACACTCAGTCACCTTCTAGGTCAAAGGACTACTCTCAGGGCCTGGACGCTCCTGACCCTGAGCCTGTCCCGTCCTAACACCACCCGCCGTCTCCGGTCGCTTAGCTGGCCCGAAGCGCGAGCCTACACAGAACAGGGGCGAATGTGCCACCGCGGAGACGGGCTGACTGCCGGGAGACCCTGGTGCTCCGTAACCCGGCCCTGGGCTACAGGCAGGCCTGGACCCAGCCGAGTCCCTCCCAGGCACGCCCTCGGGACAGGGAGAACAGCTGCGTGTCCACGTGAGCGGGCGCTCTGGGAACGCACTGGGGCCTGGAGCTGCCCTGCTGACCTCTCCGACCCACACGGGCAGGAGTGGCCGCCTGCAGAGCTTCTCATGTGGCCCGAGAGTCACGGACAAGGAGTCTGGGTGCTGACTTAGAACTCGCGCTGGAGGCCCGTTGCAGCCTCCCATGCAGGAAGCCACGGTAGAAGGCCACGGCGAGGTGTGGGGGAGCCGGCACCCCAGGACCAGCGCCGCTCACCCTGGAGACGTAGACTACTTCCCGCATCACTGAGCGCTCACAGTGCCTCCCATACACGCCTGATCTCTGGTCTGTGTCCCTGCCTACGGAGCCCACGTGCCTGGACCGGGGCATCTCCACCGTGGGCTTCTCTGCTCAGTGTAGTAACAGCGTCCCTACACACCGCCCTGGGTGGAGGGGCTGGTGGGCACATTTCTGATGAAGTCTCCATTCTGTGCGCCCAAAGCACTACGTGACTAAGTTATCAGGTCACTGGAAAAGTCACGATGTATTTTTTCTATGTGTTTCTATGCAAAAATGCAACATGACTTTCAGACAACCCAACAATTACCACTGGAGCCACAGGGCCCAGCGGCTCCCGCCCCTGCCATGCATGTTGCCAGTGCTCAGCAGGGCGAATCCAGGCCCCAGCCACTTCCTAGAGCGCCCACAGCGCACGCACGTAGACACGCCTGAGCCCGCGCCCTGAGCCCGTGCCCTGAGCCCTCGGTGAGCCCTTGGTGCTCGGCAGGTCCATGACGCAGGCGGCTAAGCCAGGGTGCTCTGGGCCTCAAGACCCCGCTGGGGCTGCTGTCTCCCTGTGTGCTCCTCCTCCGGCCTCATTCACGGAGGAAGGAAATAAACAAACTCGCTCCCCGCCCTCTCCTAAACAGGAGCCCGCAGAGCCCTCCTCTGCACGGCTGGGCCTCCCACGAGAACCGAATCCTTCCTCCTCCCCTGCGGCCCGACTCTGCAGGAGTTCAGGGCTGTCCCAGCAGCTGGCCACTCTCTGCCCGGGGGGCACCTCTCCCTCTGCCACCTCCTCAAGAGAGGACCCGGGTCCTGGGCTCAGAACGCCCCAGGAGAACAGCCACGTGTGCCTCTGGGGCAGACCCCGCCATCTCAACCCTCCCTGCCCTCGCCATCTGCTCTCACCCTGACCCACAGGCCATGTCCTGGGGGCGCGCCCTGCTCTTCCCAGCAGGTGGCAAGAGAGCTGCTGGGGCAGGGTGAGCAGCAGAATGGCGGGCGGGCGCAGGGACTGCAGCGCTGGGGCAGGCGGGAGGGCGGGCGCAGAGACAGCAGGGGCGCAGCGCTGGGCGTGGCCTGCATGTCTCAGCACAGTGGAGCAGGTGTCATGGAGGGCCGGGTCAGAAAACCTCCGGAGACAAGACGACAGAGCTCAGAGCCTCCCTTTGGCATGCAAAGAACACGAGGAAAGGGTGCTGTTACACGGATGTTTGTAGCATGTTTGGGACCATCTGGTGACAGAGAGGTTAAGGTGCTGGATCCCACACAGCTGACTCTGGTTCAAGTATCGGATCCGGTGCCTTAAAAAACATGGGTGCGTGTGCAAGTGTGCACACGCCCTATAGCGAAAACCTCTCCGAAAAAAAAAAAGAAAGAAAGAAAAGAAAATCACTCCGTGTGTGTTTGTGTGTGTGCCCAAAATCCCGAGAGGAGAATGGAGGTGAAGGGAATGTGGGTGGCCATGCTCCAGGGTGTGATTTCTCACTTTCCTGCTCTGTCTCTCTCTGGCGGGTACACCCCCCCCAGGGGGTGATTTCTCGCTTTCTATCTCTCTGTCTCTCTCTGTCTGTCTGGCAAGCGCACGCGCCCTATAGCAAAAACCTCTCAAAAAAAAAAAAATAGATTCCAGGGGACCAGCAGATGGTGTAGTGGTTACATCACTGGACTCCCATATAGTTGACTGTGGTTCAAGTCCTGGACCCAGCAACTTAAAACTCACATTGGGGGGACCAGCAGTTGGCGTAATGGCTATGTCGCTGGACTCCCACGTAGTCGACCACGGTTTGC